ACTTGCGGAGCGTTAAAGTGCCCGCTAAAGTGCACGTGACGGTTCGCGTAAAAGCGCGGCAGTATATACAGCGACAAAAAAGTTTTCTCGTATATCAAGGCGATGACTGCGAAAAATAAAAAAAAGAAAGAGAACGCACCACGTCAAGCCACCCCGTTGTGCGTGCGCGACGAATGAATTCGGGCAATAAAGCAGGCATAAAACGACAATCTCCGAGAGTCGAGACAATTTTTCTAACCAGAAAAAAAAAAGACTGAAAGAAGAGATAAAACGATCCCGACGAATCGATCCAGCGATTTGCATATTTAAAAAGAGTTGTAATAACGTCCAACGTCTGATATTATATATTATTTCAAATATTCATATTAATGATGGAACATGGCACGTTTCGAGACACGATAATAAATATCGAAAATCTTTACTCTCGTCTAATTAAAGGTAATATTTAAACAGACGAATCGACCCATATTAAAAGAATAATTTAATTGCTAATTTAATGATATTTTCAATAATAATATTATATATTATTGTGTATAATGGACTGTGCGCGACTTTTAATTATGAATCCTGTAAGAGAATAACAATATTAATTCATCAAGCGAGTTTGCATATAATGGAAGGAAGGAACGAAATGGAGAGGGATTTAAACTTCCCAGCTTTTCTATTTAATTGGAAAAATTAATGATTATTATTATTTTTTTTTTTTTTTTGCTAACTCATATAAAGAAAATCTCGTTATTTTGCGAGACATCATTAAATACATCGTTATTTTATAGCAGATTGATATTGAGATGTTTCCACTAACCATACAATAATACTCGAAATAGGACAGTGAATTAAATAGAGATGTCAAATACAGCATCTTCTCGTATGTATAACATTCGTATTACACACCGTGTGAGCGATCGATACGCTAAAAACACAATCCATTTCATCAGCCGTAACTCGAAATGTATAAAATGGGAAATTTCATATTTTCGTCATTTTTAAGCCGATATTTGAGCTATATATATGTGTGTATTGACCAAGTATATGACTGAATAATTTTTAAAATGACCACTGGGGTGAAGTCATATTTAAAAATATAACTATATGAAACACGCGTGATAAGTGATGTAGATAAAAATTGATAGAATTAATTAAATATACCTTATAGAGAGCTAGAGAAAGAGAGAGAGAGAGAAGGAATAAAAAAAGGATAAAATAAAAAAAAATTAGATATACCTCATCGATGTATAGGACACGCGAAAAAAGAAAAAGATGGTAGAAGGCGAGCATCCGCGCGGTCTCTGTAAAATATAGTTAGCAATGGCACGTGTGATACGTCTTATCTCGATAAAAAGTGTAACCACAGGGTATGACTTTTTGCGGTAGGGAAGGTTAAACGGCGAAGAGTCGAAGTGATCGCCTCGAGGGGGATACGTTTTCGGGTTTTTCTCTTTCACGGGTAAAAGTTGACCCTACGCGTTTAAAACGGTTCGTTAACTTGATTCTCCCGGTTAGATTTTCATTTAATTTAGCGACAGCGACGTTTTTTAGTTCTCCCCCTCCTTCCTCCCCCTCTTCTTTAGCACTCGATGTCCCGGTGACGCTAACGAACGTGTTTGGAATTTTGACAAATTTCGCGCTAGAATTTCGCCTTTCGCGCTGGCCCCGTTAACAATGCAAACGTCGTTACTCATCCGTCACACGGTTTTATAGGAAAAGTCGTTTCGTCGCATTTTTACAGATACACATCACATTTCGCCCACATTCGCGCGAGCAAATACCCAAAGTGACGTGTACATATACATATACGTTACGCACATGTCGTATAAACGTTTCGCGCTTATCCTTCAGACTTATTACAGTTAACGTACACGTATGCGGGCGTTTTCGGCGCAACGTGTTGCGCTAGACGAGATACTCTGGTGTATCGCGTCTACATCGGGGGATTTTCGCGAACGCAGACGCGTTAATTCGCGTGGAGCGGAAGGTTAAGGCGCGCCGATAAGCGGCGAAACGGCCGTATCAAGGGGTGGCTTTGGGGAAAGGGTGTAAGGCGCGTTCACTCGATTTCACTCGCGGGATCATCGCGAAAAAACTGTCGCGCGAGCGACGATAGACGTTTTATCGATGACCCGTCAAAAATTCATCTTCGCACTTTCCACTTGTCGATACGCGTTACCGTACACACTTTATTCATATGAGTCGATCACCGTGTATATCCGCGATCCGGAACACGTGAAACATCGGGCGATACATGCATCGTGTACGATATACATATATGTATTATATACGATGGGCGTTTGCAGGATTTTTTCCACGGAGAGGAGCGTAATTACATTTTTTTGTTATTTTATATTTTTATTTTTTGTACCATTAAATATGCAAATAAATTCTACTGCTTATTCAAGAGGAAAGCAAATGCTTAATTTTTTTTTACCGATTCCAAGGGGGGCAAATGCCCCCTCTTGGCCCCCTGGAGGATTTTTTTCAGAGGGTAATTTTATTTTTTCTTTATTTAAAATATGTTTGTTATTTTATTTTGATATTGTTTTATATTGAATATACAAATAAATTCTAGTGCTTATTCAAGAGGAGAATAAATACTTCATTTTTTTACTGATTCCAAGGGAGGCGAATGCCCCCTCTCAGGATTTTTCCAGAGGGGGATTTTATTTTTTCTTTATTTTAAAAATTGTCGAAATGATTTTTGTTATTTTATTTCGATTGTTTTATATGAAATATGCAAATAAATTCTAGCGCTTATTCAAGAGGAGAGCGAATGCTTAATTTTGTTCTGATGTCGAGAGTGGGGTAAACGCATTATATAGGTTCCTATCGTATATTGAACGAGAGAGAGAGAGAGAGGCGCTCGAAAAAAGAAGGGGCATTATTCCAAAATGACCTTCTCCACGAAACGACCTTTACCGCGAAATCTACTTACGGTAGACTTAACGACTCCGGCCGCGGTTATATACCAATTAATTCCCTAAGTTCCCCCGGCAAGCAAATCGATGCAAATCCTCGAACAAAATCCCTTACGACGCACCGCCTCGTAATAACTCCCCGTTCCGACATCGGATTTGCCTATCCAAACTTCCGTTAAAAGGGCGACCAAATGACCTATGTCGATATGATTTAGACCGTTTCGGCGAGACAAAAGAGATCACAAATCTCGATATCCTTGTTGAAGTTTGTATGCGGGTGCTATACAGATAGTATGCAAATATCGCTTATCTGAAATGACATACATATATGATTTTTGCATGAAGCGAGAGATGTTGAGATGCATGTGTTACACGTCAATGAATGTTATTGCTTCTATTGCAATAATCCCAAACATTTCGATTATGCGATTTTGAATATACATATTTCTCTCTCGAATAGCAAACTAGACAATAATAATGATACAAACAATAAACATCTGCGGGATGTACACTGAACAAAATCCATGTACCTTTACATGGAAATTACTAGCTCAGGACTGGAAAAGTTACTTGCTTATCGTTGTAATTTTTTTTCCACTTGTTTTAAAGTGAAAATATATGTAAGATATAGGTAAAATTACTATTTTTATGCAAAAATCATATGTTTTTTAAATTTACCTTTTTTACTTTATTAGAATTTTATTTTATAAGTACTTATCTATTTTATTTATAACATTATTTTATATAGCATTTATACATTCCTAACGTTTCCTATGTGTAATTACATGTTCAGTGAAATATTTTTAATCTCGAAAATATTTAAGAATATATTTCATATAAAGTTACATACGATCTGTAATTTTCCATATAAGTATCAATATCGCATGATTATGCTGGGTCGGAAAAAAACCTAGCTTAATCATGTAATTTTACATAAATATTTTGTTCAGTGTATACGCCAAAATTGATCCCGGAAATTCTATTCGTAACCGCATACAATTTTTGTATAAAAAAAAAAACAATAGCAAAACGAGACGCTTAAGTTTGAATGCATACGATAAATTGTTTCGAGATTGATTCGACGCGAAGAATAGCGTGAAAAAAAATTGAAAGGAATTTTATCGGTCAAATATCGCGATAAATTTGCCCCCGGAAATGATGATGACGCGAACGGGGAACTTTTACACATCTTCCGCACTTGTTCTTGTCACGTGGTCTACAGACAACGATTTAAACCGGGAATGAGAAAAAATTCCGTCGTTTCCCAACGTTGTAAGAATTCCCGGAGCTTCTGCGCGGGATATCTTATTTTTCAAAAACTGTAAAAGTCGCGAAACAAACGGAAAAGAGGGAAAAACAAGAGCGCGGAGTAAAGCGGAAACGAAACGAAATTTACTTGAATGAAACGGAAAAAGTAGATGCTCTTGTATATATGCTGTTGCCGGGACAGCTTTTCTTTCGAGAAACACGCGGATGAGTCTCGGAGCAGGAGATGCGGGAAGAGGATATAGGTAGCGAATTCAAGCATTCGAGCGCGCAAACGGCAATAAAGTTGATCACGAGAATTTTCCGCGCGAAATCGTATCGTCTTGTGTTTCCGTTTGTATGGAAAATTGACGCAAATGCGGAGAAGAACGTTTCACGAATTCGTTCAGCGATCGAGTTGTTGCTATATACAGTTGCCACATTCGCGAATCCTTTTCCGCAGTTTTCCCCGACTCGACGAAAATTTAAACGCGGGAAACGCGCGCGTTATACAAAACTTTCGACGCAAGATGGATATATATATATATATATATATATACATATATATATGTACACTTTTCCTTTTACTTTCGCGCGAAGAAGAGAGAATTTCTCACTTTCCGTTCCAAACAGTCAAAGACGACAAGATATAATTGGATTATCACTCGCGTAGGTACAGCGAGAGGCGGGAATTTCCGCGCAATTAAACGCGGAACGTAGAGGAATATAGAGGCGAGCTTTTGAGCTCTCTCGGGGTCGCGTGCCAGCTTGGCGCGGAGAGAGCAAGAGAGAGAGAGAGAGAGAGAGAGAGAGATCTATCTATTCTCCCTTTGACAAATTTACCTTGATGAAAGGCGGAACGCGCGACTCCGTGCACCACGCCGTCAAAGCCGACGAATATGAGAAGCGGCGCCAGGGCTGCGAACATCGGGACCGTCCTGGAACGCGCGGCATTCCCGCCGCGGATTCGCAGCAGCGTCATTCCTATATAAACCTGCAGCAATGATATCCCCCGACGCACTCGCGCGCGAGTTCTCTCCTATCTCTCTACTCGGTCCCGGAGGGTCGCGCGCGCAATGTCCTGTATATATAATTGTATATCGCGAGCCGAGCCGCGGATATCGGCTTCTCCTCCGATTGGTCCACGATTAGCGCACCTGGTGTCGCCTGGTGCGCCTTCCGCGCGCCTGGCACGTGCTCGGACCAGCTCCCGGTCGAGCGTCTCCGCTCATCTCCGACGAGGTGACGGGTTGACGTTTGGCCCGCGAGACACTCTCTTCCCGTAACCGGTGTCACGCCGGCGGAGCGTCGGCTCGGCACGCATCGACGTGGCTCAAGGTCACGAACGCGCGCGTCGGGTACGATCCCACGATAGAAGAACCACTCTCTCTCTCTCTCTCCGTCTCACTTAACCATAAAGCTTCTGTCAAACCGCGCGACCAGGTCCCTCTCGGTCCTGGTCCCTCTGTCCCGGGCCGTAGACTGCTGCCTGGAAACCCTCGCAGTACGGAGTACTCCGCTCGTGCCTCTTCCGACCTTTCCCCGCTTCAACCCCTCCTCCCGATAAACTTCCTACGGGCACCCTCTCCGATAACTCTCGCCCTCTCCTTCCCTCTTTCGCTACCCCTCTACGTTGTGCAGCCCGCGCCAGGAACGCGTTCTGGCGGCGCTTGCGCCATCGTAACCGTGTGCCCTGATGCCCGGGCACCGCCGCTACCACTGCTGCTGCCTCTCTACCTCTGCTTCTGCCGCTTCCTCGTACCTTGGCGAGAATCTCTCTCGACGCTCTCTCATCTCTGTCTCGCCCGTGCCTCGCCGGCTGTTCCTTCCTCTCGAGTTGGCCCTTTTCGCGAGGGAGACCCTATACGAGTAGGAGCTCCCGCGCGCGACCTCCCTCCTTTCTTTTTCGCTCTTTCGACAACTCGGCCTCTACGTTCCGAATTTCTCTCTCCTCCTTCTTCTCCAGGACCGTCCTGGAGACCTCTGCCTAGACCCGCTCAAGCCCGTCTCGAGGTCTACTTCTTCCTATAGCTGCTCCGGGATCACTCGACCGAGGCGATTCGAAAGATGGAAAAATTGTATTGTTATTAAGGAAATGGCTCGGTTTAACTCTCCTGTTGAGGAGCTCTAGCTTCTCCTCGCGCCGTTTAATTTTCGATATTGTGCCCGGAATTGCGAGTTACGAGAGCCACGCGCGAACCCGACGTATGTCGTCGCGAATGATACTTGTCGTGGATTAAGCGGTATCTAATTCGGTTTATTTTCTGCGTGTGCTGACCGCTCAGAGAATGTCTCGGTGGAGAAACGATCAGCTGTAATCCTGTCGCGAGTAATAAAGAAACAACCTTGTATATATAAATCCCCGCGATGGATATTATTTTCTTAGAATATATACCAGGTAAATTTGACCTCGTATATGAAACAACCCCCGTGGGGAAGTAATTGCGCGGAGACTAATGTAACGTAAGAATTTTGTAAAACGAAATAAATAGATCGAATAAAGCTGGAAAAAATGGTTGCAAATTCGTTATAATGTTTCGCACATCGGGTCCGACGAAAATTCGTATATGTATATATATATAAATGCTCTCATTTATCCTAAACCAATATTTTACACACGCGTCGTACAGCGGATGCCGTCGACTAAATCCGCGTGCAAAAAAAAAAAAAAAACGACAAACAGAGGTGAAACGTCAACGCGACAAAAATAATTTTAATCTTATTCCTATATTTGGTCAACATGTGAAAATTTTGTGACGAGAATCCCGCGATCATTATTAACAAAATTCCGCTTCGAGTGTGTCGACGAGAAATAGCAGGCACGTTATCTATACATCTATTTTTAAAAGCAGAAAATATAGTTGTCTCCCTGCTTCTCTCTTCTCTCTCCCTCTTTGCAACGCGACGTATAATACAACGGCCCGGTGAAAAATATTGCAACTGAAATTATACAAAACCGTAACTTTTCAGGAAAATTACAATACTCACGCGCATGATAGTTCCCGAAAGCTATTTTTGTTTATTCCGATAAAAACTAAATAATACAGTTAAATAAATAGAGGTACTCTACACGAGTTCGAAATTTTCCCTTTTTCATTTTCTATCATAAGGTAACAATTAAAACAATTATCATTAATATTAATTACAATATACGTCAAAGCGTTAAGCGGCCGCAGGATTTTTTTCCAGGAGGAATATGTTTAAAATTGTATTTTTTCTTCATTAAACAAATTTTTTAAAATCAGTTTCGTTACTCTATTTTTATTGTTTTATATGAAATATGCAAATAAATTTTAGTATTTATTTAAAAGGAGAGCAAATGCTGAATTTTTTGGGCAACTGTTGCCCTGAAAGATATAACTGTTCTCATCTGCGTGCGCCGCCGATTTATTTATTAATCCCCGAATCGTTTCGATTTCTCGCGGATCATCCGGCTTTATCCGGCATGACTTGTTCGCGGTGGCGAATCGCGACAGAAAGAGAGATCTAGGGACACACTCCGAGGAGAGATCACGATTTACTAGCAACGAATCGTTCGCGAAGAGGTGGAGAGCGAAGGCGGAATATGGGAGCGAAGAAGAGGGTGGTCGAGACAGATCTCTGAGCTGACGCTATGAGAATAGCGAGGGAGGGATAGGGGTGGGATGGGGGCGGAATTTAGAATGATGGAAGTGATTGTCCTGAAATTACGAGGTACGATCTCCGGCGTCGTTAGCAGATTCGAACGTCTGCGAACGTGTCGCGCGAACGGGAAAAAAAAGGGACCGATGGAGGGAGAGAGTAATTGACTTTGAGATTCGACTCTCGGCTCGATCGTAGGACAAATCGAACTATCAATATTTGTCGTATCGTTCTTTATCGTCGCTGTCACATATTTGAAAAACCACACGATGGATACTGGATACATATTGATCTTGTTTATAGAAAAACGCACCACGTGTGTATGTATATATATATATATATATATACACACACGCACACACACACATACATATATATATAATATAAAAATATATAATATATATATATTTATAAAAAAAAACATTTATATTCTTAATATTGAGAGCCGATAAAAATATTTCTTTCTGATATATATAACATATATATATATATTCGCGCGACGTATCAACAGGCAGATTTCGCGGTTGCTCGGCGGCAAATTCCGAAACCTCAAGGAACAAGCGAAGCGGTGTTCGGAGATTTTATAATGAATTGCACGGGTAAATTAATTGCGACACACACAGGACAGACAGCCACAGACGCTTAAAGCTTCGCTCGACGATTAATCGACGGCGTAGCGTAACCCTAACTAATCACGGGCAGGTGACTCGTATTGCGCATTATTACTCACGAATAAACGTAATTCGGTGTGTCGTCGATATAGCCCCATTACGTGTATTAATGATCGCACATATTAGAAACGCACGTGGACAGCGTGCCGAAACATGTGCAAGCGAGACTCTACGCGAGAGTCTTTATATATAAATATATTCATCCACGTATCTATGTAATACAATGATGAAGTTTGTACATACGAATCTCGGATGATCGGTGTTAACGAGTTTTGTTGCAATAAAGTTTTCGCTAAGACTACACCAACTGCGGAGGAAAATTAAGGGCCGATGGTAGCGATTGTTCCAAAATTACGACGAACAACAGTTAAGTCTTAGACAAGAGAGAGAGAGAGAGAGATCGTCTTTCACTGATTAACTTTTAATGAATCTTAGATTAAGCTCTCGCTGTGTATCGCGAGTCATACCTAGTCTTTAGTCTCACAAACATATAAATATATATATACATATATATATATATATACACTCTCCTGCATACTACATATTTACGAATTAATTTATTAATGTATCCTATCATAAAACATCGAAAAATAAGCCGATAAGCGGGATTAAAGAGCGTCGTTATTTATGATTTATATGCTTATTAGTACCATGAGTTTTGCGCGAGGAGGAAATCACCCGACTCGAATAAAATGAGCGCGGCACAGAAAGGTCGAATAATAAAAAACGTTAATAAGCTTACGGGATAAACATATAATACCCGTTTCATTAGGACGCCACAAAGCAAAGTCCAGCGTGTGTTCGAATGTATTCGAAATATGTATGTATATTTTCCCCCTATACGAGTTCGCGGTTGAGCGCGTAGATATTTTTCAAAGAAATATCTAAAAAGAGAAAAAAAGGAGAGCATACACATATATATATACACACATACACGCGAAAATGCGCGCAAACTGTTTTTTCTCTTTTATACGAGGGAAATGGTTTCGGGTTACTCGCACCAGGTGATAAACGTTTCCGTCGTACTTTTGGCAGTAACACGCGGTCGCGTCTAGCCGCTGTGAAAACGATTGTATATTCCAGCGATATTTCGGTCATATAATTAACAGATGAAGCCGCTGCAATTAATTGTAAAAGCAATTAATCGCAGGCGTCACGTATCGCGGATAAACCGTATAGCTGATTAACCCCGTTTTAGCACCGAAACGAGGGATATGTTTCGCCTCCAGCTGATCAAGGATTAGAGATTACCGGCGTGAAGGTATGAAGAAAACGTTCCGTTACTACCCAACTAATTTTCGTACCATATATATAAAGTGGCTGACATAAAGTGTCACACCGAAAAAAGTTTTCCTCTGCAAAAATACTGAGGCAGCAATCATTTTCGAATTACAAGCGATTAAAAGTCATAAAATATTAACAGAACCGCATTCTCCAATTAATTTCAAACAGAGTTCACTTTAATGAAATTTAAATTTCAGATTTAGTTATAAAGAGATACACATGACGGCAAAAATTGGAACATGCAAAAAATGTTGGCCTCCCTCCACATTTTTGCTGAGGAAAAATGGTCTCCAAATAACGAGATCTATTTGTATGTTTTCAGTGTGATACTTTATGTCACACAGCAGATATCCTGTATATGTTGGACACAATCTTTGCTTGTAGATATCGGACGATGAGAGTTACGAAGTTGCTATTTTATGACTTTGTTTCATTTCTTGCGAGATATAGTCTCTCTCTTTCGATTAATGTCTTATTTATAACATTTTAAAATCTAACAATAAAATATAACACAGAACACGTTTTCCCGGTGGATACAACTTACACCCGGATACACATTGGGAAAATAGCCTGGCCAGATAAAAGTTAATTCCGTTCTCGCAAGAAACGATCTACGCGTATATTTTCTTTCTTAATTAATTCCTCGCTCGGCTATCCGAACTTTCGCAGATTCAGATTGTATTGCTCGAGAATACTGAATTCAGATACGATACGATACGAAAATGTAATCGCGCCGTTCTAAAAAGAAATAGGAGACTTTGGGGTAGCATCGGTGATATGATATTAATAATTCATAAGATGCCGGTATATGATTTTACCCCGGATACGGAAATCGAGGCAATTTGCGACAGCTTCAGCAAAGTTGATTGTTAATCTACGTTCGTGTGTGAAATTTGAAACGTATACTCGACACATTTTCCT